GGAAGATCGGCCGGCGTTGCGGGCTTCGATATTCGTGAGAATGATCCGTGACGCTGTGCTGAAAAGCTTGTCAGATGTGTCGAGTGTCTCTGCAATCTGCGTCAACACGTTTTGCAGAGCTGGACACGAGCGCATGATAAACAAGTGCTTGATGGCGCGGAAGGCATGTGGCAGGTTAGGTGTGGAGGCGAGTCTTTGGAACTCGGTAATCCAGTCCTGACTAAGCAGCGTGTTCTGATGGAGCTTGTTGAGCTTGTCCATCGCTTGCAGGTCGGGCAGCTCCACTTGGAATCGCTTGTGCCAGGCGTCAGTCAACTCCTGCCAAGTGAGCTTGGTGTACAGTTCCGACACTGCTACGCCGTGGCTGGTCAAGATGTTGTCCAGCCATGCTTGACACGCACCACCAGATCGGTGGTACAAGCACGGATGTCGATCGTTGTTCGGGACATGGTGCATGTTGAGCCTGAGAGTAAACTAGCGCCACCACGGGATCGGTTCCGTCTTGGACTGATCGCAGAATACTGGAATGTCATCTAGCTTGGGTGGGCGCCTGGAGGATGCGGCGGCGGGCGTCACGGTGGCAGCAGCCTGGACCTGCGTCTCCAACTGCAAGTTCGTTGCTTGCTGCGACGTCCTGAAGTCCTGATGCACACGCTTGATATTGCTGACGCCGTCCTCCAAAACTTGAACACGGGTGGCAAGGCTTGAAGGCCCTGCGGCTGCTACAGCAGCTGGCTGTTTTTCCAACGCCTGCAGCCGTGCAAGCATCTGGTCCACCGTCTGCTGCAGGTGAAGGATTTCCTCCTGCTGCAGTACGCAGCTGGCCACAAGGTTGTGGGAGACCTGCGCAAGGGCTGACAGCCCTTTCTCAGTCTTCGGGGCCTCGTCTGCAGATGCCACTTGCACCCAATGTGCGGCCTCATCGCCGATCACGGTCTCCCGCATGAACAGTCGTTCCCGCTGGCGTGACCGGTGTTCGGCTGTCGCCTGCAGGTCTGCCTCCTCTTGACGAAGTCGGTCCTGTTCTTCCTTTTGTCGCTTGGTCTCCTCTTCTTGCTCAATCCGACCACGTTCCTTGGCCGCGGCGGCAGCCCTGTCATTGGCCTCCTGGATGAAAGCAACCAGGCGTTCCTCATAGGCCAGGAGGGATTCTCCCTCCTTCCGGTCCATGGTCTTGGTCTGTGATCGAGTGAGTGGTGGCATGCACTGCTCTGAAGAGTCACCTATGGGCCAATCAGATAGACTGGCCCAGCATTCGGACTGGAGGGGAAAGAGCAGGTAGGCAGCAGACAGGTGGGAAGGATCGGACAGATCCCAAATTGAACAGTTCCCTAATAAAAAAAAAATAAAAAATAAAAAAAATCAAAATTCGAAAAAGACTGTCCAATCCCACTGAGTACCGAAGGTGATGCAGAAAGCAAATGTGAACCTTCGGTGCTCAACTGCAGAGAATCAGAAAAGAAGTATCTTTACAACTCAGAGTAGGAGTAGAAAGGAAAAAATGCCGTTTTTTTTGTTTTGAAAAAAAGAACGGAATTTGCAAACCTACGCAGTGAAAGTGTAGAGGGACATTTTCGGAAAAAGAATCGAATTTGTCAAAATGCAGACATTTAACAATTAAATAAGGTAATAAAAACTTTTCTCGGAAAAAGAATTCTCAGAATGAAAAAATTTTTTTTTTCAGAAACCAAATTTCTTGGAAAAATAAATTTTCGGAAAAGAATAATAATTTCTCGAAAAAAAATTCTCGGAAAAATAACTAATTTCTGGAACAAAAAATAAATGATTAATTAATTCCAGGAAATTTCCAAGATAAAAAAATTGCCAAATAATCAATCAACTAATCAATCAATCAATCAATCAATCAATCAATCAATCAATGAGTCAATCTCAGATGATTGCTGGTTGATTGATCGATAGTTCGATCAATCTCCTGATTGACTGATCAATCAATCGAAGATTGATTGGTGGCAAACCGCCAATCCAATCAATTAATCGATTGATTGGTTGTTGCCACGATTCATCGCACTAGCTCCGATACCACTTGTAGCATATCAGAAAGTGAAATGCACTGAAAGCCTAGGATCTAGCAATGACGAAAGTGGCAACAACCAGCAGCATAGGTGCAACATTCACAAGGTGTCAATGTGGACGATGCAAAGAGTGAAACAACGAGAAATCAACAAAAACACATTCGTATCATTGTCATCATAGGCTGGGAAGCAGCGCAGCGGAAGATTTAGTAGCAAAAGGACATGTGGATGACAACATGAAAGGGAGAAACTTCGGAAGGGCAAGACATCAGAAAGATTGCCCTTCCGCTCACACACATGGGGAGAGATCCATAGACATGCGAGAGAGAAGGGGGAGGGACATAGTAACCAAGTCCAACCCAAGTCTGATCTCCGAATGTCGTACACAGTTCAATCCCAATGTAGAGTGTAAGTCCGATCTGAATGTCGTGTCCAATAAGGCAGAAGGCCGTGTCCAAACAATGTCTGCAGTTACCTCTATCTCTACTCTGATAAAGAAGAAGAAGAAGAAGAAGAAGAAAGCTAGGCGCTTTCTGCACTTACCTGGCGATGCTGAACTTGCAGGTACCGCGGAGCCAGCTATGGCGCTGGTGCAGGTAAGTCTTCTCTCTCTCTCTCTCTCTCTAACTCCACTACCCTCCTCGGCGCTGGACTCCTCCAGGGCTGTTCCTCATGGCCGATGAGCAGCGCAGCTGCAGTCTCGAAATAGCGCAGCAGGGAGTCTCCAAAATAGCGCAGCAGCGAAGTTCCTGAACCAGCATAACGCTGGATTTCTCTTGGTACCTTCTGTCACGAACTGGGCAACGGCCCAGCTTATGTAACGCTGGGCCAGGACTGAAAACCCACGGCCTGCATTCTGGGCCGTGCAGATCGAAATCCGATCCACGGTCCAGATCGCAGGCTTTGAATCTGGTTCAGCCCTTGGCCTAAAACGGCCTGCCTGGGTCCCTACCGGACGTCCAGGCCCTGTCCAGGATTCAGTTTCCTGGTACCTGGCTTCGAACCGGTCCTGTGCGGACGTACCCGGCCTCAACGTCGGCCTGGGTCCGAACAGGTAGCAATCTGTTCGAAAACAAAAGAAARGKYCMAAMSKTTTTWRG